CAGGAGAAGGAATGAATGTGTCAGCAGGACTGAGGGCATTTATTGTATTTTTTTTTTTTTGAGATGGAGTCATGCTCTGTCACTCTGGAGTGCAGTGGCTCAGTCTCAGCTCACTGCAAACTTTGCCTTCCAGGTTCAAGTGCTTCTCCTACCTCAGCCTCTCAAGTAGGTGGGATTACAGTTGCATGCCACCAAGGGCAGCTAATTTTGTATTTTCAGTAGAGACGGGTTTTATCACATTGGCCAGGCTGGTCTTGAACTCCTGACCTCAAGTAATCCACCTGTTTTGGCTTCTCAAAATACTGAGATTATAAGCATGAGCCATCACACCTTGGACAGGGACATTTATGAGCCTTTGAAAGTGAAAAGTCACCTTTGCTTCTGAGATGAAGTGAAAATATAAACGGATATTCAGTTTTATGTGGAGAAGAGAGAAGGGCAGTTGAAGAAGTGAAGAAGGAAACAAGACCAGCTGTGGAGAGTAAAGATGGCATCATATGCTGATGATTTACCGAACTTCCAGTTCCAACTCTCCTGAACTCCTAACCTAGACCTGAGCTTTTCAAAGTAGGGGCCCCTTGGGCCAGTGCAGGACTACAAATTGTTTGTTGCTGGCTCAAATTCAGAGAAGCAGCTTGTGTTAGAATGAAAATAAACAACAACTAATTTTCTTCTTCTCTTTGAAAGAAGCACAGCATTAATTTTCCTTCTGGCAGCATTCTGTTTCTCATCACAGTGTCCCGAGCAGGTACTTCTGGGAAACACGGATCCACACAATTTCCTACTGACATGTCAATCTCAGTATTTCAGAGACATCTCTAACCAGCTTGAACTCGTCACCTTTCTTTCTGTACTTTCTTCTGTTTGTTTCCTCTTCCTCAGTGAGTTGGTGCCTTCCATTGCTAAGGCATCAAGCCAGAAATATGGAGGAGGGGAGTTTATCCTGCACCTTCTTCTTCACATGCCTTGACTAATCATTCACCAGCCTAATTGATATTCTCTCCTACATAGCTCTCAAGTCCACCCTCTCCTCTCTATCCTCATTACCATCAATCTAATCTAGACCATCTTGAAAGTTTGCTTGGATATTGCCAGGCAAATTCAAGCAAGCCTTTCTCTACTCTGTGGCCCCAGTGAGCTGTCAAAAGTCCAAATCTAAACACTTTACTCCCCTGGTTGACCCTTCTTGCCTTATGTAAACACCAGACATGGCTCAGTTAACTCTATACACCTGGCATTTTGAACTACTAGAATCTGCCCTTTCCTTGGTCTCTGACTTTTCATGTATGCTGTTTCCTTCATGTAAGGTTTTTGGCCTACATTTCTGTTGTCTCTTAGTTCCTTACCATTAAGAATAGATATTTTGTCATTCCAAACACCCAGAACAATGCCTGGAAAATAGTAGGCATCCAGTACATGTTTGTTGAATGAATAAATTAAACCAAGGAACTTAGCTGATCTCATACTGAGCAGAGCTGATGAAAGTGGTGGTGTTAAATGCTGCCTGACTGTGGTCAAGATCCCAGAGCCTTTAGAGAAAGTCACAGAACCTCAGCAATAGATGTGGAGAGCTGTGGAGGCTGAAAGGCAGGAGCGCCACTACTGAAACGCATCTATTGGTTGTGGCTTCCTTCACTGAATCTGGTACATTCATGAAAGCTTTCCTGGATTATATCAAAATCAGCTGTGGCTGAGGTCATCTTTCAAAATGAGAATCTTACCATCCACACACGTTGTCAGCTACTCTTCATTTCTAGGTTTCCCTGGCTTCTCTCTCTTCCAATCCTAATATTACCATCCCCCTCCCCTATCACCACAAACTCCACCATCATTTTAACTTCTGCCCTTGACTTACCATTTAATTTTTGTCTTTGTGTTCCCGTAAGACACAACTTGTAAAATCTTGCCACAGACACCAATGTAGCAAAGGTGGCAAAACAGCTCCAGTTCTGACATTCTACCCTGGTCTTTAGGACTTCACCCGCCGGGTTGTCACTTTATGCCAAAAGAGTGGTAGGTGGGACAGAGAGGGGAGTGGGGGTGGGGAAACTAAATAATAGATTATGGCTGGAAACTCCCGCCTTGATTTGGCCCAAGGGCCACAGCTATATCTGGCTGGCCCCTGGTTGACATAATTATTATTGCCAGAAAGTAATTTTAGAAAGAACTTAAAAGGAGGACATGGGTGATTAAACTTCTAATAATAACATTTTTTAAACGTCTGGGTTAATGAATCTGTAACTCAGGTAAAAGAAAAGAGGCTTCAAGTGTTCAGGGACTAGTACCTGGAACTAAGCTTGAAAAAAAAAAATTCTGTTGGGGAGTCAAGTAGGGCAAGAATAGATCACATGCCCCTAAGAAATCTTGGGGAAATAGAGACGTAGCTCATTTTATGCTGAAAGTTCCTGTCAAAATATTATGAGCAAAATAAAGTTTCACAAAGCAGACAATATTTTGAATTAATTCACTGAACATCCCTTATATGCAAGGTACTGTACTAGTCCCTTTGGAATATTTCCTTGGGCCTGTGCAGGGCTGTTGTGAGCATGGGCTTAGGCATTCTGGCTGTTCATAGCCAGGGTCTGCTCTGATTAGGCCAATGTGCAGTCTGATTGGTTGATGCTCTACCAATTGTTGAAGATTTTGAATATAATGATTTTGAATATTGCCTGGGTAAGGCAAACTTTGTTTTGAAATAGCTTATAGTTTAGATGATGAGATGTGCTTACAAATAACTATAATGCAATGCTATGTCATAACAATGCCTTTGCAAATGCTTTTATGCATTTTGCATTTTGCAAATGCAAAGCCATAACATTCGTCTTTGCAAATGCTTTTATACATTTTATCTCATTTGAACTCGATAGCAACTCTGTGGTACATGTTCCGATTCTCACTTTGCAGATTAAAAAGAACATGAAGTTCAACCGAGGATGGTGGCTAATGCCTGTAATCCCAGCACTTTGGGAGGCCGAGGCAGGTGGATCACAAGATCAGGAGATTGAGATCATCCTGGCTAACTCGGTGAAATCCCACCTCTACTAAAAATACAAAAAAATAGCTCGGTGTGATGGCACATGCTTGTAATCCAAGCTTCTCTGGAGGTTAAGGCAGAATTGCTTGAACCCAGGAGGCAGGGTTGCAGTGAGCCGAGATTGCACCAGTGCACTCCAGCCTGGGTGACAGAGCAAGACTCCATCTCAAAAAACACCAAAACAAAACATGAAGTACAAGGAGAGAGGCAGTCTTACATTTCATAGAGCAAGAACTTGCCCTGATTTGTCGATATTTGATTTCCCCTAGTGCTCACCCCACAGTGCCCATGGCTTCCTCTGTTTAAAACAGCAGATTTATTAATGCAAATAATTATTTTAAGAATTCTTGATTTCTAAAAACAGATTTTTCATACCCCAATAACCCTATAAAGATCAGCCTTTTAGCCCCATCATCCTGATAGGATGTTTAAAGAGTCTCATTCTGAGACACAAAGAGTCACGGAGCTCAGTCGATATACATTTGGGGAAGCATGGAGTTGCCTTTAAGTCCTCTACTAGGCAATGAGGTTTAACACAAACACATACAAAACAAAACAAAACAAAACAAAACAAAACAAAACAAAACAAAAAGGCAAGGGCAATGAGAGAGTTGACTGCAGAGGAAAGAACAAAGACAAAAAACAAGCAAGCAAACAATAAATAAAAGCTTTAAAAATAAAAAGTGCTGCATTACTTGGGGTCAGATCTATACTCCTGAACAAGATGGAGCACGTCACTGTAGCTCAGCACAGAACAATGTTGGTGCTCCTCATACTGGCTCTGAGCAAAATAGGTTAGAAGCTGCTGAAAGGAGTGCTAATGTTTCCAGAAATAAGCCCAGATTTTCTGAGAATTTACTCATGCAGAGCACCACGTTCTCTAAGGGGCCACATACACATATGGCTGCTTTTAAAACACCTCAAGTCTTTATGTACAGGGCCACATACAACATGCAGATGGGGGACAGGGAAGAAAACAAAATATCTCCCAAGTGAATGATACCTAGTATTTATAAACTAATTTGTCCAGTGCTTCTGATACAGGAGGATACCCAGATCTAGGCCTTAAGAGCTGGGATCCCTGGTTAATTTGGCAGCTTTTCCTCTGTATCTAGCATGCATATAGCCATGTTCCGTCCATTCTACTCCCCTAGAAATACTTCTTCCATGGAAGCATACAGAAAGACTATGTCGTAATGGAAAGATAATTTACACATTGTTTAATGCACCTCCTCCATCTTTTTCTAGGAAAGGCAAATGGAACTTACAAAAGTGAAATGACTAGTTCATGATGACAAGAAAGGTTAATTACAAAATCAATACTAGCAACTCTAATTTACGGTTATTGTTACCAGGCCTTTCTTATTTCATGTGATTTCCATGTCTGAAATAACCTTACTATGAAAAGACTTGTGGAACTAGTAACTCCACTAGGTATTATAGTGTCAGTCACAGAATTAGGCCACCTTATTAGTACCTGCTCACTAGAACATCCTGCCCTCTATATGAGAGGGCTTTCTGAAAAGGTTGGCATAAATGCACTTTTGATTATTTAGATTCTGTTTTGCATGTATTCAGGGATCTCTCTGGTGCATCTCTGAAAAGACTCCAGAATAAACTTTTTTGTATATGAAGCAACGAAGCTTGCTACAGGAAATATTTGCTGCCTGATTAATTCTTTTGACAGCTCTAACTGTGCTTATCTTCAGGCTGGCATACCCATATCGCATCGTCATCTGGTTTGTTTTGGTCATTGATTAATTCACTTTGCTGCGAGAGGTGCACAAATTAAACCTCCATAAGGGCAGGGATATTTGCCTGTTTTGTTTAACCCTGAATGCCTGATACTTAGACTAGGGCTTGGAATATAGGAGGTGTACAATAAGTCTTTACCGACTGAATAAATAAATTGATGTTTAAGAGAATTCCTGGCCTTATCTCACCTCACTTGTGTCCACCTTCACAGATGCTCCTCCTGCTTGGGGCTGCTTCCTGTGAAGAGTGTGGCTGCACTGCTGCAAACCATCCCTTCCCTGCCACACTGGCACAGGTGGCTGTTGCCACCTACGACAGCCCAGACTTTGCCATCTCCTTGTGAAGCATGAATAAGCAGACCTCCAGCCTGATGCATCAGATTCCTCTTCCCGTGGCTCTCCATCTTCCATGTTGTTCATGCGACTGTCTTCTAAGCCTCCTCAGGGTATGTTTTGTCCTTCTGCTAGAAGCTGCCCCACTTAGGTCCATCCACTGTTGGAGTTTCCTCGATTGCTCATCTTGGAAAGTACATCCCCATCCAATACTGGGTGTAGACCACAGTGGAGATCTATGGCCCTGTTCCTGCTAACAACCCAGCATCCCCCTTCCCATTAGGGACAGAGCTGCTGCTGCTGCTGCCACTGCCACTGCCCATCTTACAGACAGGTGCAGTTTAGTTTCCATACCATTGTTGAGTTGTAAATGGCTTCCATGTAAGAGGCATCCAGAGTCGTGAGGTATATCAACATCACTTGGAGACAGGATGGTGTTATAGTTAATGGTGTGAGCTTTGGAATCAACTGACTGGAGGTTAAGTCTGGCAACTTCTATTTCTTGTATAACCTTGGGCAAGTAATTTAATTTTCCTACAACTAAGTTTGCTTATTTGTAAAACTGGGAAAATGTCAGAACCTTTCTTGGAGGGTAAAAGTGAACATTAAATGTGAAAAGCTGTTCACTGCCTGGTACCTATTACAAATGCTCAATAAATCTTTTGTGTGTATGAGAGGAGAAAAACAAATGATTATTTTCAGTGGATTCAAATAAAAGTCAAGAGGAAGCCAGATGTCAGAAGAAAACAGGCTCCAAGGGAGAGATTAGGAATGGGATTGGACTAGAGGAAATGTAGGCAAAGGAAGGCTAAAGAACAGGTTTGCAGGGAGCTAGAAGTGGGAGTTGGAGAAAGAAGAGGAGATAAAGAATGCGTAGGAGGAAGAAGGTATATTCTAAACTTTTAAGGAAAGAGAATCTTGGGGAAAGACTTTGCTAGCCAGTTCTCTTTACCACCCCCCGGCCCAGTACCTATGTTCCCTCGGGCTATAAGAACCTAGTTTTTCTTCTATTTTACAATTGCATGAGTTCTTACCACTGGACTGTAATCTCTGAACAGTAACAACTCCTCCAGTTTTACTCATTCACGTATCCCAGCATCTAGCATAATCTTCTGGGCCAGATATCTGACTGCATGTGAAGCAGCCCAGTCTCCTCCTGTCTTTTCAGAAAGCATGGGCTTCAAATTCATTTGATTTTAAAATAATTATTGAAGCGATACAAGTAGTTAGTTCCCTCCCTGTCTGCTCTTGCTATGAATACAACAACAAAGATAAATCAATAACACTTAGGTGTTTATTCTCTTTAACTTCAGTTCATTTTGAGATTTAACCTCCTGTTCACGTACGCCCTCAATAGTGTGCTTTGCTCAATAGGAGAAACAGTTATGGATGACTGGGACCCTGATCTATTTTACAAGTTTCAGTTGCTCTTTTATACTTGTAGGTGGTCTGGGTCTGTCTCAACAGGGAGGCTCTCAGGGCAGACAAATGGCAGGTGGGTGGAGAGGCCCTGCTTTTTGTTCCACCCCAGCTCAGCTTCTGAGCTCTGCCCCTGGCTTCCAACACAATTCTGACCATAGGTACAAGGAACTGCATCCCAGTGCCCATGCTCTGGGTCCTCTGTGCTGCTAAGAACGTGGCTCAAGGTTTCATTCTCCAGCCCTTTCGCCATAGAGGCTCCAATCTTCAAACTGGGTTTTGGCCACTTATCTCTGAGTCCTTGCTCTAACTCCCTTCTCTCTTGAGACCACACATTGCTTTGGTCCTAACGATAGTAACAAGAGTAATAATAGCAACATTTTCTGAGCATTAGCCATGTGCCAAGCATGGTGGGCAAAACCTTATTTGCATAGCCTCATTCAACCTTCACAATCATCCTGTGAAGTATCAGAACTATTTATTTCATTTTACAGATTAGGACATCAAGGCTAAAAGAGGTTATGTAACTTCCTCAAGGCCACATAGCCTGGAAATGTCAAAGCTAGCTCTCAATCCAGATAACTGGTCTTTCCGCTTCCTTATTATGGCTCTCTAATCTGTTCCTCTTACAGAATAATTATTTAAAAGAGGAAAATCGGAATCGGTCAGTCCCTTGACTTGAAACACTTCACTGCTATCTCTCTGCTTTTAGAATAAAATCATTTTGTACTGGTAGGCCCTGGAGAGTCCGGCCTCTACTTCTATTTCCGGTTTCATCTTAGACTATTTCTGCTTCCCTCACTAAATTCCAGCCCCCCTCGGTTCCTGGAGTAAGCAGACCTCTTTCCAGCCTTAACATATATGAGTATGTCATTTCCCCTCCGGAAGCCTCTTCTCCCAGCTCCTTGCATATCTGGCTCCATTTTCCCTTCAGTTCTGAGCTTAAATGCCACCTCCCTAAGAATCTTTCTAAATTGAGTGCTCTTCTTATTCTGTGTCATAGCACCCTGTTTATTTTCATCATAGCAGATAACATTTTGAAATTGCTTGTTGACTGTATTTTTTCTTTCTGTTGGCATGAGTTTTTGATGAGGGCATGAGGGCAGGGACTTCATCTCACTTGCAATTGAACACTTAGTCCTTTGCATATGTAGGTGCTCAGTATATATTTGTTGATATGAAAGAATAATCTGTGTGACTCAGGGGTAGATTTGCCATGCAGCTAACAAACTTAAGCTTAAGAGTCTATTACTTGCTAAGGGCCCTAGCAGTGTGTCCACATGGTCACATATTTTTGAAAAATTGTCAAAACTGAGATATTTAAACTGCAAATGATTAAAATCATTGGGTGTTTTATGTAGTTCTCTGATACTTCTATGTATAGTTAAGTTGCTACTGGCTATTCTCAAGCAAGACTGATTTTCAGGAATACTTCCACCGTTCATTGTGTGACCTCACTTGCAGTTGTGACACAAAGACACAGGCACGTGGCATCAGAAGCATGTGGATTATACATGGATTGTGGAGGAGAAACAAGACTTGAAATGTTTGGCCCCAGGTGCTAATTTATGGAAAATTCTTCCAAATCTTATAGCTCATTTATGAAACTTCAACAGTTTTTCCAACTTTAAAGCAATTCTGAAAATATATTTTACATTGTTAATTATGAATAAAAGATCTGGAAGCTTCTCTAAATTATTAGGATGGTGCAAAAGCAATTGAGGTTTTTGCCATTACTTTTGCACAGACTCAATATCATTCGTTAAAACAAAACAAAACAAAACAAAAAAACCTGTAATTGTGGATTCATGACACTAAGGGAATCTTAATATATGCAACTTTTTAAAAATTTAGGAAGTTTCCTAGGATGGAATGCAGAGTATAATACAACAATTTAACTGAATTAAAAATATATGAAACAAGCTTACTGAAGAGGATGGGGAAAGGAGATGAGCCACGTGACTCTGGAAATGAGGGGCATCTGTAAGACTCAAGGCAAATGATACTGCATAACCACTGCATCCTCGTTGATAAAGTTGTGTCTCACGGGGGTAAGTGTTAATAATTCCAAAATCACTATCCATGTGTCTTATTTTGTCCTGCTATAACAAAACACTTGAAACTGGGGAGTTTATGAACTGAAAGTTCTGGAGTCTGGGAAGTCCACGGTCAAGGTGGCAGCAAATTCAGTTTCTGGTGAGAGGTCCCGTCTCTTTCCAAGATGGCACCTAGTGGCTGTATCCTCCAGAGGGAATGAACACTGTGTTCTCACAGGGCAGAAACTGTAAGAGCAAAAAGAGCCTAAGCTAGTTCTCTCCACTGGAGCCCTCATGACTTAATTACTTCACCAAAGATCCCACCTCTTTTTTTTTTTTTTTTTGAGATGAAGTTTCACTGTTTTTGCCAGGACGGAGTGTATTGGTGTGATCTCGACCACTGCAACCTCCACCTCTCAGATTCAAGCGATTCTCCTGCCTCAGCCTGGAGAATACAGGTGATTCTCCTGTATTCCATTATCTTACGGATCACTCTAGCTTCCTCCTTTTGTGTTTCTGTAACCTCCTACTCCAGTAGTGAGAAATCTGACTCTCACCATCCACTGTCTATTTACTTAATTATTTAATTTTTGTATACATGGTGCTAATGGTTTGAATATGTCCTCCAAAATTCATGCTGAAACTTAATCCCCATTTTGACGGCATTAAGAGGTGGGACTGGGCCAAGCACGGTGGCTCGTGCCTGTAATCCCAGCACTTTGGGAGGTTGGGACAGGGAGGATTAGCTGGGATTCCAGGTGTGTGCCACCATGACAAGCTAATTTTGTATTTTTGGTAGAGATAGGGTTTCACCACGTTGGCCAGACTGGTCTTGGACTCCTGACCTCAGATGATCTGCCAGTATCTCTTCTCACCCACTTATCTATGTATTCAATCACTTATGTATAATGACATCACTATACATAAGTGATTGAATACATAGATAAGTGGGTGAGAAGAGACGAATTTTCCATGCTGAAGCATTCCCAGCAATTTTTGTAGAATTTCTTCCTCAAGGAGGTGGAATATAACCCCCAACTCCTTGAGTATAGGTTGTACAGAATGACTTTCTTTGAAGGAATACAGGATGCAAAGGTGGCAGGGGGAAGGTGTAGAGAATAACTGTTCATTAGAGAAACGTGAGAAGCACCACCTCAGCCAGGTGACCAAGATCAACATGGATATTAATAATAAGTCATGTTGACAACATGGACCCTTGATAAGATGTGATGAAAATGGTAGTTTACTTCTGCGTTTTCTTCCTCTTCAAAACCGTAACTTCATTTGAATCGTGAGAAAAGCATCAGACAAATGCTTATTGAAAGACATTCTACAGGATACCTGACCAATATTCCTCAAAACTGCTCTTCAAAAACAGGGAAAGTCTGAGAAATTATCACAGCCAAGAGGGGACTAAGAAGGCACTACAACTGAGTATAGTGTGATATCTTGCATGAATCCTGGAGTGGGAAAAAAAGACATTTATTTACAACTAAGAAAATCTATATAAAGTAATTTCCTTCATAATAAAATATCAATATTGCTTTATTAATTGTAATCAGTGTATTATAATAATGTGAGAAGCTACAGTAAACATTAGGTATGGGGTATATGGGCCTTTACAATTTTTTTTGTGTGGTAAATCTGAAGTTGTTCTAAAAATAAAGTTTATTTTAAAACCTTCAGTAAAATTTGTTAAAGAAAAGATAATTTATCTTTCTACTCTCCGTATAGAAAATGATATTACAGGCCGGGCACGATGGTTCACACCTGTAATCCCAGCACTTTGGGAGTCTGAGGCAGGAGGATCACCTGAGGTTGGGAGTTCAAGGCCAGTCTGACCAAGATGGAGAAACCCCGTCTCTACTAAAAATACAAAATTAGCCAGGTGTGGTGGTGCATGTCTGTAATCTCAGCTACTCGGGAGGCTGAGGCAGAAGAACTGCTTGAACCTGGGAGGTGGAGGTTGCAGTGAGCAGAGATCATGCCATTGCACTCCAGCCTGGACAACAAGATTGAAACTGTCAAAAGAAAGAAAGAAGGAAGGAAGAAAGAAAAGAAAGAGAGAGAGAGAGAGAGAGAGAAAGTGATATTACAAAATCAGTGATGTATGAAAAGGTGGTCAAAGAATATGTGGTCAACATACATAAGAAAAAAATACTCTAGAGGTGAGTCTTGCAGGTGTGTACTGGAGGCCATACATTGAGTTAAGCAATTAAGTTGTGTTATTACATTGTTTTTCTGTATTTTGTAGAATTTGTGAACTGCCATCTTTGCCACATGTGTAATTTTTTGTGATTTCTCATTGTAAATAAATACCACTTTTAGATCAAACTTGGTATATGTGGTTTTGTACTGTTTTTCTTACATTGGATGCCTTCAAACTGTGTAAGCTTCAAGCCCCACAAAACCCCGTCCAACTCCAGAGCTGACTACAATGCTAGGTCAACGGCCATGCCTTGAGCCTCAGACCAGATGCTTGGGAACTTTATGAAACCCCTCATTTGCCAACTGCTTCCTTGCCTTCTAGAACTTCCTCATCTCTGCCTATTGACATCTCTAACTTACTATCTTTTGACTGTCATCTACTCCTACTATAGTACTATTTCTCATACCCTTTGGGTATTTTTCTTTTATCTCAGACAGTATCATTCTTAAAAATCTGCAGCAATTTGAGCTCCAGTTTCTTTGTGGGGTCTGGTCTCACCGCCATCCAGACCCATCATAACCTCATTGCACCACCACTATTTTGGGCAGGTAACTAACCATGCTGTGTCCTATGCTTAGGGGCAGTTTTTCCTATAAATACTTCACACTTGTTTCCTGTCCTCATGATTCTACTGCATTGTCAGAAACAAAGTGTGTAACGCTGGTGATTTTCCTCTTAATTTCTCTGGCAATAAAACCATAATTGTCTTTCTTTGAACTTCTTGAAACTTGATTTCCAAAAGCTAAGGTTTGATATGTGGCTCGCTTTTCTCAGAATTTCCTTTAAGGGTCATTACGAAGTTAGGGTGACATGGTTATTTTCACGCTCATATTCTTCCTCTTTGAACAGAATTAGTATCTCCTTGGTAGATTTTCCATGTCATTTTTCTCATCCTCCCAAGAGATTCAGATAAGTAAATAAGTAAGTGACATCAACTCTTCTTCTAATAGAATATGGTTCCAGCTACTTTTTGACCATCTAGATGATGTCTCCATCACTATCACAGTTTCCTTCTGTAGCTTTAGATGATTTGGTGTTTTCCATGGCTTTCATTGGTTTAGGTGGTATGTAGTGTATTCCCGTAAAAATATTACGTTACTATTTATTTTTACTCATATGATCTCCTCTACACTTCAAAACATTTTCAGTTTTGCATATGCTTTATTTTTTTAACCAATAGTATTCTCTCCAATCTTGGTAGGAGTGTGTGCCTGTGTTTCTGCCTGTGTACGTACATATAACACTTCTAGCATCTTTTTTGGAAAAGAAAAGAAATGTCCATTTCCACTTTCTGCACTTCTCATGAGGATAAAAACTAAAATTGCACTGGGAGGATAGTGGAAACATTATCTAAGGTGTAAACTAGGATATTGTTCTAGTTTTAGTTGTTTTATTTCAGATGAAAGCATTTGTTGCAGACTCTGAACTTAGAACAGTGGTCAAATGACGTTTTCATCTGAGGAAGACAGGATGGGTATCCACTTACCAAACATCCTGTTAACATTTGTGTGTGCGTGCGTGCGTGTGCGTGTGTGTGTGTATGTGTGTGACGTAACTGCTACCTCTGTGATTCTCAAGAAATTACTGGAGCCAAATGATCAACAAAAAATTAGGTGAGTGATTAAACCTAACTGTAGAAAAATTATTAGCTATAACTGAAAACAGTAAGTCAAACCACTCATTTTAGTCGGTTATTTACTCCAGAATGGTTGTAATAATGCATGAGATACTGTCTGTGAGGTGCTCTACACAATGTCTGGCACAGTCTATGGCCCAGGAATTGTGGTCTCCTCATGACCTGTACTCCAGCCTCTCTGCTCCCTCTAGCCACGCTGGTCTCTCCATACACCAATTGGGCCTTTGCACATTCTTTGCTCTCTCTGGAGCCCTCTTCTCTCCAAACTGTGTCAGGTTCCTTTTTAGATGCTCTCATAGAACTAAAACCCTTCCTTCACATCACTCATCTCAAAGTAATAATCTGATTAGTATGTTTTCCCCACCAGATGATAAGCTTCATGAAAGCAGGGACAGTGACAGTTACTGTCACTATCGTTTTTCTCCTACGGAGAGCTTCACATGTAGTAAAGTGTCAATAGTATTTGCTGAATGAATGAATGTTTACTACCACTAACAAATAATTGTATGTTGGATTTCACTGATTTCATGGTCCCCTGTCTCTGCGTTTCCTTCCCCTCCTGCTTCTCCTGCTCCTGTTTCACCACTTGCATCCCTTACATTTTTCCCTTCCCTTCCTCTTTTTCCATCATCATCATCATCATCACCAACACCATCATCATCATGCTATATTTATGAAACATTCACTAAGCATTCTGCAAAGCGGTTTTCATAAGCCAACTCAATGAATTCTCTTCACTTTCAGCATCCCCAGTGTCTATTTTTCCCATCATTATGTCCATGTGTACCCATTACTTAGCTCCCACTTGTAAGCCAGAACACATGGTTTTGTTTCTGCGTTAATTCACTTTGCAACTATATCTCTGCAGAAAACAGTATATTATTCTTTTTTATGGCTGCATCGTATTCCATGGTGTGTATGTACCACATTTTTCTTATTCAGTCCACTTTTGGTGGACACGTAGATTGATTTCATGTCTTTCCTCTTGGAAATAGAGCTGTGATAAATATATGAGTACAGGTGTCTTTCTGGTAGAATAATTTATTTTCCTTTGGGCATTTACCTAGTACTGGGATTGCTGGGTTGAATGGTAGCTCGGTTTTTAGTTCTTTGAGACATTTTTAAACTGCTGAACTCATTTACATTCCCACAAATAGTGTATAAGCATTCCCTTTTCTCTACAATCTCTCTAACATCTGATACATTCAGCTACTTAAACAAACACTAATCTAGGTGTTGCTGTCAAGGTATTTATTTTGTAAAAGTGGTTAACATCAACAATTGGTTGACTTATTAGTGAAAGAAATTAATCTTAATTATGTGGTTGGGCCTCATTCCATCAGTTTAAAGACCTTCAGGGCAAGATTGCAACATCAATTCCTGTCTGAGTTTTCCTTTTGTCACTTCCTTTCATGCTGGCCTGCCCTACAGATTTCAGACTTGACAGACCCATAATAGTAAGAGCCAATGTTTTGAATAAATCTCTATGTGTATGTCTAAATCTATTATGGTTATATATAGAGAGAGATATATCCTAGAAATTACATATATGATATGTAGTTATCTATAAGCATATGCGTAAATAACATACATAATATGTAATCTGTAGATTATGTCTAAGATATATTTGGTTTCTTTGGAGATCCCTGGCAGACATGGGTGTTGAAATCTCCTTTATGATGAATTTGTCTATTTCCTTCAGTTCTGTCAGTTTCTGCTTCATATATCTTTAAACTCTGTTATTAATTACATTCACATTGAGATTGTTATATCTTTTTAGTGATTTTCATTTTATTATGCAATATTTCTCTTTGTTGCTAATACTTAAGTCTACTTTGGTTAAATATAGACACACACTTTAA